TATGCTATACATGCACGACATACAGCACAGATGAAATTTCAGTCCTCTCGGACCCACAGTGAACACAAGCTACATTTACATAAACAGCCTGGACTTGCATTCAAAAGGTTAAAACAACCAAAGAGATGATAGAACAAAAAAAGAAGCCTATTAAGTGTGTTTGATTGTTAGAAAAAAAATACATAATACAGACAGAGAATTGTATAATAAGTTCCCATAAATATCAGGAAAACCCATCTCTGATTCAATATTCACAGGAAATAAAAAACAACCTTCCAAATCGCTCATACTCAACTTCCTGCAGTTATTGTGGTCATTATTTTGAGTTAATTGGTTTTCCTGCATTAAATATAACATGAAATATCCATAAAATGTGTCACTTAGTCACTTTACTCAATGATTGAAAAGGGGTAGAAAAGGGAAATAGGTTGGGAACCACTGGTTTATACTACAGCACAAAGAAAAACAACATAATTGGAAATAAACTAAATGACAGAAGAATCAACAGAAGCGCAAATGTGTTAAATATACAGAACTTTACACAAACATAAGATAATATGTTCCTTTATTGATCTCCTGTAGGGGAAATTCAAATTGGTACAGAGGAACATACTGCAAGCAGTAAACAGGTAATACAATAAAATAAAATATAATAAAACACAAAATAGCAACATGACATCTTAAATGCATCTTGTTCCTGTACATGTTCATATCGGAGGAATGACAAATACTCTGCTTCCCAAACTGCTGCAGACGAGAGCGCTTTGACTACACATGCAGGCAGAAATCCTTTTTATTTACTGTACTGATGTTTCTGGTTGCATGTTGTTGCATCTGTAGCGCGTGCAATCCCTCCCCTAAGACACAATGTTTGATTAAGAAACCCACAAAACTCCACTTTAAAAATGTGTTTTCCTTCTTGTTCCTTCACTCTGACACTGTAAAACCTCAGTTCATCTCAAATCGTATCAAGTATTTATTGTTGAGGTAAATAAAGTTAATTGTACCAATTCCCTTCAGTTAATGGAACTTAAAACTAGTGAGTATATTGCACTCATATGCAGCATTTCTCCAAACTTATTTAAAATGTGTTAATTATCTGAATTAAGTAAGCCTACCTTTAATGCACCTTCTTTATACAAATGTTACCACTTACATTAATGAGACAGCCTCACATCGGTATTTGATGGTCTGGGAATGAGACTCAACAATCAACTATCTGCAAGCCTCAAACCCAAAGCGTCTTTCTAGCTTTCTCAGCTCTGATTGATTGTTTTCATCTGGGCCCAGTGGATTCTTATAAATGTCATTAGAGGTGCTAGAATGAGTCAGAGGAACCTGATTTACAGATTATCTGTCTCATAAAAGTTTCAGGAAATATGACAAAGTTATATTCATAAAAGTTACCTACTGCAGCTTTAATTCAAAAATTTTTTACAGTCTGCTGTAGAAACTCAATTTTGCTTCCAAACATGTTGTGATAAATTGTTGAGAAATGTTTCTGTGCATTGCATATAAAGTATATAATACATTAGTTTCCCACTTCTTAAACTCTGCCGAGCCGGCTGCAGAAGCTCTCTGTTTGTTGATAAGGAATAATTCTGCACATTATCTGACTTAATAGCTGTTATTTTCCTCCCACTGTCACATTATGTTGTGTAATTTCTAGAATCTACATGCCTCTTGCACACCAAAGCCCATTTTAGTGCTCAGACATGCTGAATACGTACAATGCTTTATTTTTCTGGTACAGATGGACATTTCTGTCATTCACAGGTTTCTTTGATGTAGAAGTATGGCCTTAGACTGGTATGCCGCCACAACGCTTTGACATCTCGAGCGCGGAAATCAAACATGTAACACCTTTTTGTCTGAGGAAGCAAGATAACAGGATACACACACACACACACACACACACATACACACACAGAGACAGACACACACACATAGAAGGCATTTATTGGCAGATTTCAATCTCTCTTTCTGTTTCCAACAGGAAATTATCTGTTCTCTTCATGCCAGGAAGTTTTCTCAACAACAAAACACTTTCCCTCTTTTCATCCTCCAACACTTACAATATAATGAGCCTCAGATCTGACGCAAACCTCGTTCAAAGCACAAAAGCCTTATTGCGTCACATTCGTGTTGAAACACACGAGACACATATTTCATGTCCCGATGAAGCCTCTGAGAGGAAAAGCTCTAAAAACTGCTCCTGCTTTATTCAACAGCCGTTTTCCATCCTCTGATTTCTGCTTCATTTCACACTTGTGCACAAAAACCTGAACATATTTTTTAATCAGTTTAGTCAAACCTCAGAGGGACGTGTAATTCCAAACAGCAATCAGTTAAACTAATCAGTCAATGACATGTTAACAGACAGATTTGGGACATTTTGAATCAGAATGAGGAAGAAAATCAGGATGGAAACTGTAACGTTTGTTTTTTTAGGGAACTTACAGTTATATTTTAATTATTGGTGATGTAATTCCAGTTTGTTCAACACAGCAACACGTCGTAAAAAAAACTCACTTGCGGTTGCTTTTTGTCGCCGGAGCAACCTTTTTCGGTGGAGGCAAATTCTAGGCCCGAGGGGGTAATACATTAACGACCTAACGCCGTTATTGAGGGCGGCGTGTGCGTTTATGTGAATTGCCGAAAGCGTTTGTGTTTTCGTCCGTACTCTCCGGCTTCTCCGCGATACTTCCTAGTTACGCAATCTGACGCGGGACGGTAGTCCCAAAAGTTGAAAGGTTGGTTTCGCCGGGGACCGCAAGAGGGTTGCCCTCCACCATTTTCAACGCGGAACAGGCCATTTAACCATCCAAATGAATGTTCGTAAACGGGTTTTGATCTAAGGGCTGGAAAAAGTTGGCAAAGGGTTCCCCCTTTAAGTCACAGATGTGACTTAATAGCACCGGTTAACCAATAAATTAGTTACTTTTAACTCAAATCAATATTTTGTTCAATGTTTAATGATAGGCTAAAGATAAAGATGTTCATCTCAGAATCTGTTGTGTTTGTCAAAAATATTCTTGGATCATGTTTAGGAGTTGTGTTAGATGCTGATGATCTCGTCTGTATTTGGTATTGAAGTGGCTTTTTTGTTCTGCTGAAAGCACAAAATGGCAGGTGGGTACGTTTGATAGCTTGCTCGTTTGTAGATGTTAACTTAGATTCATTTTATCTGAAAGGAGCTCACTGTACCATCGAAGTTTCTAGTTGTATCACGAAAAGATGCTCAAACAACAATACAGCAGGTTCGATACTACGAAGCAGGAGAGATGTACTACAAGGATGCGCAAGGGCTAGCCCAACTGTCAGCAGAAAAAGTACGTCAAACCGGCTCACGCTGCCGTCCGCTGATGTGCTCTGACTCAGCTTTCTCTTCTCCATAGAAAGCGGAATCTGTGACCGGTATCGGGCCGGAGGGTGCGGTGACACCATTACCATGGGCAGTGGCAGAACGTATGCCCCCAAGTCACGACCGGGACCTCGGAAGCGAAACCAAAGGGGTGCCGAGCAGAGTCTGAGTTGTGCTGTAGGGGCAAAAAAGTCAGCTTGTCCTCGGATCTGCTTTTAAAATGGACAGCAAATGCAACGAGGCCAGCTTACGTCGTCAGGCGTTCTCAGTTATCGGCGTGGAATTATTTACCCTGTTTCTTACTGTTTTATTCTAGGCAGTGTCAGGGTTTGTAGAGATGACGTTTTGAAAAAGATCCGCGCGTCCGCATGTGAATTGCATGAATACAAAAGTCGTTCTTGGAACAAAATGGTGGTCCTTTTTCCCCACATTAAAATCGTCTACAATAGCGGGAATGCTACCTGCTTCAACCTAGATTAAAAATGTCCATTTTCATG